CAGGTTGAATAAAAATATATATATATATAAGACCTGCAGGGAAAATTTTGAAAATAGCAATTACAATACAAGCTCTATTATCAATGAGGACCAGCACAATTGTAAACAGGTATTATGGGCCAATTATATGGGTAATTTGTAATTTTAAGGCCCTAGCTAATACACTGGTCAGTGGGGTCTATAAACAGTCTGCCAACATTGGGACCCTGGATCTCTTGTAGGGATGCTCAATCAGGGTGTCAGCAAAATGTTGTAAAACTCATATGGCCAAGAGGCCTCTCACCACAGATTCAATCCTGTTCTCAGGCAGTTCCCTGTAGGTCAAGTGAGAGTCCATGCCACACAAACTGGCTCCCCTTTTAAACCAGCGTTAGCTAGATTAGAGGCATGCTTTGTCTCTGGAGCTCCCCGTTTCTCCACGGCTCAGGCTCTCCATATGTTTGTAATTCTGCCCTGTAGTACTCTTCTGCGGCAGCTCCCTGGAACCAGTATCTCTTTCCTCTGGAGTATGCAGCTCTGGACACCATTCACTGTGGTTCTGCCCTATACTTCTTTGCTACAGTAGCAAAGAAGTATAGGGCAGCTTATACAGCTTATTCCTATGCACAGCTTGGGACACATAGCAGTCTCTTGGACCACTCAGTAGCCCTCCTTCTCACCAGGCTCAGGGCAGCTTTGCTGCGCTATCCCTTACCAGCACAACACTCAATGTGCAGCTCTGCCCTCCCTCACAGCACCCCTGCCCACCTGTAGTAGTAGTAGTAGCAGCAGCAGCCTCATGGCTCTACTCCCCCAGTTCCCCTGGCCATGCTCATGACCACGTAATTGGGGTAACTACAAATCAGCTTTAAATTGCATGACAAGCCAAAAACATCAACAAAAGACCCCCAAACTAAAGAGTAGGCCTTGGTTAAATCCAATTGAAGATAATAGGGGCACCACAACAGGTAAAAGAGTCCAAAGTGTTTTTTTTACTAGGGAAAGATCAACAGGGTAAAAAAAAAGTTAATAATCAAAATGTGCCACGCTACAAATCTATAAATATCATACAAAAGATATAAATAATATATAAAGTAGTAATCTTAAATTGTACAAAAGTGATAGCTAATGCATGCACAAAGTGCCAATTGTGCCAATCCTATAATATATATGCAGACAACTACTAGTCCACAAACAAAGATCCTTTCTAAATAAATAGTGTATCCAGATACTATGCAGTCCAGCTCACCAGTGCAGAAATCTCTTATACCACAATCATCTTTCAAAGTGCTGCTCACCTTCTATTTAGACCTCAACATCAAGGTCTTACTGCATACCCATAAAAGCAAACAGCACACCAGAAGATTCGTAATTGTTAGCCCAGACTGCAACGCTACCTGCCATGCTCTGTGCTTCCCAGCTCCACCCTACTTACACAAAAATAAGAAATACATTAGAGACAAAAATGACTATAGCACAAAACAGGTTTTCAGATGGCAAGTGAAACTCCTTGAAGGGGGTAATTCAGAATCTGCCAACTCCTCAACAGACAGGACGGATGCTCAAAAGACACTGGAGCAGGTCAGGTCAGAAGAAAGACATGGCACAATTGGGGACGTTGGCACTTTGTAGATGCAGTATCTATCACTTTTGTGCAATTCAAGATTACCACTTAATATTTTTATAATATTTGCATGATATTATAGATTTGTAGCGTGGCACATTTTCATTATTAATATTTGAGTCTAGTTTATACAGTTGTGTGAAAAAGTGTTGGCCCCCTTCCTGATTTTTCATTGTTTTGCACGTTTGTCACACTTTAATGTTTCAGATCATCAAACAAATTTAAATATTAGTCAAAGATAACACAAGTAAACACAACATGCAGTTTTTAAAGGAAGGTGTTTATTATTAAGGTAAAACAAAATCCAAACCCACATGGCCCTATGTGAGAAAGTGTTTGCCCCCTAAGCCTAATAACTGGTTGGGCCATCCTTAGCAGCAAGAACTCCAATCAAGCGTTTGTTATAACTTTCAATGAGTCTGTTACAGTGCTGTGCAGGAATTTTGGTCCACTCATCTTTGCAGAATTGCAGAATTCAGCCACATTGGAAGGTTTTCGAGCATGAACCGCCTTTTTAAGGTCATGCCACAGCATCTCAATAGGATTCAGGTCAGGACTTTGACTAGGCCACTCCAAAGTCTTCATTTTGGGGGTTTTCAGCCATTAAGAAGGTGGACTTGCTAGTGTGTTTTGGATCATTGTCCTGCTGCAGAACCCAACTTCACTTCAGCTTGAGGTCATGAACAGATGGCTGCACATTATCCTTCAGGATTTTTTAGTAGACAGCAGAATTCATGGTTCCATTTATCACAGCAAGTCTTCCAGGTCCTGAAGCAGCAAAACAGCCCCAGACCATCACACTACCACCACCATATTTTACTGTTGGTATGATGTTCTTTTTCTGAAATGTGGTGTTACTCTTACGCCAGATGTAATGGGACACACACCTTCCAAAAAGTTCAACTTTTGTCTCGTTGTCATTCGTGGACAACTTCCCAACACAAATTGATAGTTGTATGGGCACCTTTAGAATTAGTAATTAGGGTAAAAAAAAAGTCAACGTTATCAAGGGCTTCTAAATTATAACTTGTAAAATATATCCTTTTAAGATTGCTTAGACTCAAGGATATATAACAATTATAGTTATCTTATCAGACTGGTGTTTCTGCAGTGTTTCTCTATATTGTGTGACAGTGGATCTTGATCCTAAATGTAATTTATAAGCCTCCTTATTTCTTCGAGCTGCTATATTTAACCATACAATAATTTTTAATTTTCCCTCTGATGGGCACTCTCCCCAACTACCTTTAAAGCAAAACTGCTATTGATAAAGTATGCCTAAGCCAACATTGTATAGTTTATCTGTATATATTGGAAATAGTGTTCGGCTATAAAACAAAAACAGTACTTGACTGAGAGAATTTTTGTACTGAATCCAGTAATCCTATTTAATATAAAATGTGGGTAAGGTTTTTTCCACAAATTGAGATATCTTTCTCTTAATGTTAAAGAATCCAGTATGACATGGATCTGGGGCAGCTTTAGAGATGGAGAAATTCAATTATTGGCAATGGTCCATAAGCCAGCCACTAAGAGGGTAAAAGAGCATTTATACACATCTTTATTGGATTGGAGAACTGGAGAATGTAAAATAACATTAGCTTTCTCAGATGGTAAATCTTGGTCCATTACTTGAGTAAAATAAGAGGACATTTCTTCCCAAAATGATAGTACTGTATTAAAAATCTTTATTAAAATAATTCATTCATCAACATCATATGGCCTATTCTGTGAGACATTCACATTTACTGTATTTTTTTTTTCCAGTACTCGTGGTTCTCAGAAGTGTAGAATATGTATCACTTGTAGTACACAACTTGTTAGTAGGTACACAACAACAGCCATCCGAATTTACAGATGCAGGACATCCTTGTGGAAGAATATGCCCATTGTAATGTGAGCTATTGATTAAGCCAATATACTGCATTTCATCAGCATGCATGTGTATGCCATGATTGTTCCAAAAAATTATTAATGTCTATAAATTACTAAATAAACTCTAAATGACTTTCCAACGGCTATGTAACATCTCTGGGTCCCTGCAGAGCACAGACATGGGCTGTAAACTTTTTGACAATGTTGCGCACAGTGGACACAGAAACATTAAGATCTCTGAAGATGGACTTGCAACCTTGAGATTGTCCATGCTTTTCCACAATTTTTGTTCTCAAATCCTCAGACAATTCTTTGCTGATCTTTCTCTTCTCCATGCTCTTTGTGGCACACAGAGACACACAACAGAAAGGTTGAGTAAAATTTTTGAAAAATGTTTTTCACCATCTGAACTGGATGCCGGTCTGATTTCTTTATTGTCAGCACCTGTTAATTGATACAGGTGAGTTTAAGTACAAATTACAGGAGCATCACAAACTTGGAATGCAATTATTTCTTGCAAATGTAGAAGGTGCCAATAATTTTGTCCAGTCCATTTTTGGAATTTTGCGAGGATTGTATAAGATTTGGCCTTTTTTTCTCCACTTTTTTGTGTCATACCAATACAAACAAAAGAAATAAAAATGAAAATGCCTAAACATTTGTAATTGCAACAATTTTCTGTGCGAAGTGGTGCATTATCTGACAGAAATGCAGTGTTGCCAATATTTGTAACCATGACAATGAATATTTCAATAATGATTACATTTAACACACATTATTTTGTGTTGTGACTGTATTTTCTCCTTCTTACTGATAGTTAATTAAATATCTTTCCAAAGATTAGCTATCCAACTGGTGCCACTTATCAGAGTCTTTAGTGGACCGTTGCAAGATAGCTTGAGTGACAATGATGATAACACTGTCATGGAAAATGTAAAGTGCATATATAGATAGGGGTCGGGCATCGATGCCAGAGCTCATTGCTTCATTTAAGTCATTCAGGTAAGTAGCATACTCTCATGATATTTAATTTAAAAATCATTAACAAATGCATTTATGTAATCCATACAGCCAGAGCAGAAAAATAACCTTTCTTATCATTATCAAGAAACGGATCTAAATCAATATTTACTATGCTTTTAAATCAATTGTAATATTGTTATGGAGAGCATTGGCTACTGAATGGTTAGTAGCAATTATTAGATGTTGTGCAATGTAAAAATAGCCATAATCAGAATTTAGGTACAAGAAATGCACACTGAAGTGATTACATAGATGTTTCTACTATGCTGGAAAATGCCTGGGGCTAATTAGGAATCAACATTTTACTTAAACAAAAGGTATCTTTTATTGTGCATGTGCTAAAAAAAATACTCAGGTCTTTCTAGGTTTAGGGTTCTTGGAAAAATAGCCAAAATGAGTCAACTTTACAAGGCATATGATACATGAATGTTTACAACAGGGGTAGGCAACCTCGGCTCTCCAGCTGTGCTGAAACTACAAATCCCATCATGTCCCTCTGGGAGTCATGCCTTTGCCTGTTGGAGTCTAGCAATGCCTCATGGGACTAGATCCACAACAGCTGGAGTGCTGAGGTTTTACAGCTGGTTTACAGCTATTATGCTTCAAATAACTAGATACATTTATAGGGGGGGTTATAGGGAATGTTTACTAAGCTTAGTGAATAAGGAGAATCTCTGCTGACTTCCATCATCCAATGCAAGAAAAAATACTGTTTTAGTTTATTTTCCAGAATGGGTATTCTTTGCAAAGTGAATAGTCACCACATTCACTAAGCTAAGGGAAAATCCACTTGCAAACTGGAAATTCACTTGTGAACAACCTATTTTTGCCTTTAGTAAATCTACCCTTTAGGGCTTTGAATTCTAGAGATGTATTGTTTAAAAAGGGTTAAACATTTTCTAAAATACAGGATATTATCATGTATTGTCATCATAGTAACAAACATTAAGGGGTCTATTCACTAAGCTGCCGTAGGCAGCCGAGTGAATGACCGAGCTGAAGTGAAGTGAGCCGAACACTGAGTGACACTGTTCGGCTATTCACTTCAGGCTGGTACGTAATCAGCTGTACATCGGCTTGCTTCACATGGCTTTTGTTCGGCCGACCCGAAGTGCAGAAGGAGTTCAACTCAGCCGATCCAACATCTGGAGCGGCTGAGCCGAACCTCCGGCAGGCTACTCACTGCTGTTCGGTCTATTCTCATAGATGCCGAACAGCAGTGAGTGAATAGCCGAATGCCGCTGAGCGTCATTCGGCTCGGCTGTTCTGCTCTGTCCCTCAGAGGTACCGAGCAAGCAGAAAAAGAGTTAAAAAGATAAAAAAAAGTAAATAGAAAACGATTGTGCGGCGCTAGCAGTGACAGCTAGCTCCGCCCAATAGTTTCCTATTGTCCGGCGGCTCTGCTGCCGTCAAAAAAAAAAAACCTCTCCTGGGCGCTCTGGGAGCCTCCCGGCCGCCCAGGAGAGAAACACTGCTGTGTCTTTCTTTTTCTTTATTCTGACACGGAGCGATGTCAGAATAGAGAAAAGAAAAAAAAAGATTTTTCCCATTGAAATACATTGCTACATTACTATTGGCTATATCAATTTGCAATAGCCAATAGTAAACTAGCATTGTACCCGCCCTCTGCTGATGGACCTGATGGAGAACTGCAGCAGAGGGCGGGTACAATGCTAGTTTACTATTGGCTATTGCAAATTGAAATAGCCAATAGTAATGTAGTAATGTCTTTCAATGGGAAATTTTTTTCTTTTTTTTCTCTATTCTGACATCGCTCCGTGTCAGAATAAAGAAAAAGAAAGACACAGCAGTGTTTCTCTCCTTGGCGGCCATGAAATCCTTAGCTGTTTGGAAATCAGTGTCCCTGGTTAGCAGGTAACCAGGGACGCTGATCTCTCTGCAAGTGGCCGGAGCCAGCCGTAAGATCGCGGCTGGCTCCGCCCAGCTGTCAAAAGCAGGTTGTCGGCCGGCCGCTCGGCCAGCTTCGGCTTTCAGCATGGCTCAGCCGAGCCGATGCATATGCGTTTGGCTCGACTGAGGCGCTCGGCCAGGTTCGGGAGCTATACAGGCTATTGTGAATAGCCCGTACAGCACCCCTTCGGTTCTACTGAACCAAAGGGGTCCTGGGGACGAAGCTAGCCGAAGGATCGGCCGAAGCTACGGCTAGATCCTTCGGCAGCTTCGTGAATAGACCCCTAAGAATTGCTAACGTATATCTTTATCCCACAAGTTATTGTTCATCTTTTTTAGATATGGTAAGGCAGGGGTAGGAAACCTCGGCACTCCATCTGATGTGATACTACAAATCCCTTCAAGCCTCTGCCTCTGGGAGCCATGCCTGTGGCTGTCAGTCTTGCAATGCCTCATGGGACTTGTAGTTCCATACCGAGTGCCGAGCTTGCCTACCTGGGAGTATCCCTCTTGGGAGCTTTTCTTTAAAGGAGAATTATGGGGTGAGGGAAAAACACCCATCCCCATAATTTAAGCCGACCTGTGACACTGAAGCTGTCACAGGTCGGCTCTATTCACAAAACACATGCCACCGATCGCTGACTTCCCGATCCTCTCTCTGCAGAAAGTAACTGTCAGTCACCGCTCCCCACAGGGATTCCCCCCTCCCCTCTCTGATCCTCCAGCGCTGACTCTCTAGAGAGGCAGAGCCAGCTGTTAATCAGCCAGCGGGGTGGATCTAGACCAGGGGTGCCCACAATTTTTTGTGTTGAGATCTACTTTTCAAATGATGAGATCTACCAATTAAAAAAAAGACCTCCCCCGCTCTCTCTCCTGGCTGTCTCTCCTCGCTCTTCTGGCTGTCATTCCTCATCTTCTCTCCTGGCTGTCTCTCTTCGCTCTCTTGGCTGTCTCTCCTTGCTCTCTCCCCTGGCTGTCTCTCCTCTCTCTCTCTCCTGGCTGTCTCTCCCCACTCTCTCTCCTGTCTGTCTCTCCCCGCTCTCTCTACTGTCTGTCTCTCCCCACTGTCTCCCCTGGCTATCTTTCCTCTCTCTCCTGTCTGTCTCTCCCCGCTCTCTCCCCTGTCTCACCTTGTTGTATTTTGCAAACAGTGTAGTGCAACAGGCCGTGTAAACTAATATTTTTTGATGTAATACACAGCACTTCCACCACCAGTATCCACCAGAAAGGTTTCAGGGAGCTTGGCTCAGCAGACTCAGGCTAATAGGTAATCATGTGTGCACAGCTAAATAAATATACCAAAATGGAATAAAGAGCCACCATTCACACCCTTCGTGATCTACCTGCATCAGCTTTGAGAGCTACTGGTAGATCACGCTCTACCTAATGGGCACCCCTGATCTAGACAGTATTGTCGGTAGTTGGCCATAGTTCTTTTTTAACTTCCTTTTATACAAAATGTACAATGTGCCAATTTGAACTTTTTTCCTCACCTTCTGTTGTGGTGACAACTATATCATTTTGGACTTTCCATCACTTTCTGTTCCATTGGCAATGGTTACCAGGACACATAGAGAACAAAGAAATTCGGATCCGAAATTCGTTAACGGAATTTCGTATTTCGGATATAATTCGGAAACTGCCATTCGGATTTCGGATGCTCCGAAATTCGGAATTTCAGCAAAATTCGTATGAATTTCGATTCGTAACGAAACGAATCGCACATGTCTAGAGAGAATGAATCTCAGAGTAAAGACAAAAATTGCAATATGAACCTGACAAGGTTCAAACCCTTCCCTACTCTATCCAAGAAAGGAAATCAATAGGTATGGCTTTGGATACATTTTAAAATACTAGCAAAAAATGTTTTTTCTAGTAAAAGAGAATACAGTGCATATGTTTTACTGGTTTCATAGATGTTCCATTACATATATTTTATTGTGCATGTGCTAGTAGTAGTAGTAGCTCTGACACTCATTCACAGCATGCTTGTTCCAGGACCATAACTGAAACACAGCTATATAGAGCAGGCATCTAGTATTTTCAGCAGGAGCCTGCTATGGCAGCCTATTACCATGTGATGTGATGTGATAAGAAAACAACATATATGAAGAATGTTGGTTCTAATTTGCCTGTACACATTTTACATTTAGGATGCATTTGGATAAGTATCTCCTGGTTTTGTCCGCTGTCATTATTTGTGCGTCTTGTTCACACTCGCTTGACCAAGAATGGGAAGCCTGGAAAACCAAACACGGTAAAGTATCTAAAATATAGGCAACTTTGTTTAAAAAGAGCACTAGCCTGAGTTGGAGAAACATAAGTCTAGAAAGTATTTAGAAAAAAGTTAGCAACTAGAACAGTGTGAGAAGAAGTCTTTGTTTGTACAGACTTTTTTTGTTTTATATAGAGCATAAAAAGGTAAAACCCTTGCCAGTTTTTTTCTTTTGCTGTCTGTGTACCATTAGGATAATTTCCCTTCACTTCCTGCCCCAGGGATTTAACCGGAAATTAGAAGAAATCTCTCAAAGTGAGGGGAATTCCCCTCTTAGACAGCTGTTACAGGGAAAAGTTGTCACCATTGGAAGTCCCCCCTTAGCTGATGTTCTGTTGACAACTCTAACATTTTGGATTTCCCTTTACATAAAATAAATGTGCAATAAAATCTTGACATTGGGCCTAACCCTTCTCCACTCTATTCAAAACTAAGGGGAAAACAATGTTTTGCCTAGAAATACTCTAAATCTGATTTTTTTTTTTGAAAACCAAAATTCCTAGGTTTAGGTAGAATATAAAACTATTAGTAAGACTAGGGAACCAGAAAAACGTTTTTGCTGTCTTTGTTCTGTTGAGCATATTTCTCTTTACGGCCTGTCCTTATCACTAGAAAGTGAGCAGAAATCTAGAGGGAGAATATGGAGAGCATTAAAAGTCAATTGAGATTCTAGCCTTTCTCTCATTATTAATAAGTTTTTTTTTATTGCCAGGGCATCCCTGTTAGAGAGATTTACCCTCATCTCCTATTCTAGTACCAACTTTGTCACTGGCACAGGAAGTGAGGTAATATCTTTCAAACGGGACAAGAAAGAGCCAGAAGACAACACTCTGACAACTTGGTTCTTACTGCTCCCAATGACAAAGTTTTGTCCAGAGAAACACCATCACCTAATGGTAATTGTATGCAAAACTATTTAGACAAATGAAAGGTGCAGAAAAAAAAACCAACTTTTAAAGACTTCTGTTTTCTTTTAATTTAGCTCTAGTGCCAGGACAAAATCCAGTTCACTGGCAGCATCCTGCAGATCAAGACTGCTACTCCATGTCTGAAAGCAGCAGTCTACCTGAAGTGGTCCGATGCCCCCTGATTAGTCAAAACTACAGCTCTCCATGAAATGTTGTTTATGTTGCAGTAAATGTAACTAAGCCGAGCATATCAGACCTTTGCATTAAAGTGACGCTATACTCAAGAGAACTGCTCCTGGTATGGAAAATTAACCCCGAGCAAGACTCGGGAATACCGCCAGGGAGGTTAAAGCCAATTTTTTTTTTACATTTCTCGTTTAAGGAGACCCTCCTTTGCTGAAGGCTGTTGCTTTTTTCTTTAAAAGTTCTTCATTCCTCGTTTTCTAGTGGGTCCCCGCAATGCTCTTCCCCCCGCCCCCTGCATCATTCTAATGGAGGCACCCATGCGCGCTTGTGCCCGCAGCGGCTGTGTGCGTCCATAGACACACACAGCCCTGTGGCAGGCCACGCCCCTTCCCTCTTTGATTGATGACAGAAGGAGCCTATGGCTCCCCTGCCATCAGTATCCTCCCCCCGCAACCCGGAAGTTCGGGGAACTGAGGATCGATTCGAGACCGGCGGCGGAGACGAGTGCAGCTGACAGGTAAGTGTGGGGGAGACTGGGGTAGAAAAAAAGTGCAGGGCCATTTTTAACCTTAATGCAGAGAATGCATTAAGGTAAAAAATGCCCAGACCTTAATACTACTTTAAATCTTAAAAAAGCATTGAAGGAGTTAAATCTTAACTATTAACACAAATGTATCTTATTTGTGTATCACTCAGCTGTAGATCTTCAAATCATCTCTGAATTCATACTCACACTGTCCTTCCTTCTGGAGGGGGGCTACTTTTGTTCCCCATGGTCCCTGTGTGTTGTAAAGTAGCCACCGCTCCAAGCTCACTTCTGTGATGGACTAAAATCTCACGTTTAGTTTACTAATTTGTATTGACCTTGTAGTCTATCACAGGAGCGAGCTTAGAGCAGTGGCTACTTTAGAACACACACAGGGACCATGGGGAACAAAAGTAACCACCCTCCAGAAGGAAGGACAGTGTCGGCACCAATTCAGAGATGATTTGAGGATCTACAGCTGAGTGATACACAAATAAGATACATTTTTGTTACTAGTTAAGGTACTTGAATGCAATTTTAAGTTTTAACTCCTGAGTTTAGTGTAATTTAAAACCACAATAAGGCTTTAACCACACAACATGGAGGATTCAAGAGGATTCAATACTGCATAGCAAAATCTAGTATATGTAATAGGTCCTCTCTGAAAAAGGGCACCGTCAATGGGTTAGAGGTATGCTAAGGCTTTTTTGAGATTGGCCATATATAGTCCAATAAAAGCAAGTAATGAATCTTTTCAGACAATTTGGCCATGTAGAGATAGGCTTCATAGTCACGATGATGTGAGGCGGAAGGTTTCTAGTGCAGTACAGTATATCCAATTATGTTGCTTTTACAATCTGGAATCCTGAGCTTTCTAGTGTTATAACTATTTGCAGGAAAGCACTATGTTACTTCACATGATGAATCATTTCGGAGAATGGCCTGGGAAGCAACGTGGCATAAAGTACAGGAGCACAATCAAAAGTTTGAACAGCGTCTCACCAAGTACAGAATGGGAATGAACAAGTTTGCAGATATGGTAAGATTAAACATTTCTGCTTCATCATGATAAAAAAAGAAATGCAAAGAACTAGTAAATACCCTGTGGCTGGTTTGTAGGGATGTTTGTGTAAAAGAAGAATTCAGTCGGGGGCTGGAATTCCTCCACCAATTATCTATTGAAAGGTCATCTGTCCAATCAGTAGTAGTAGTTAGTTGTTACCAGTCTTTGGACAAGATGACCTTACAATAAATCATTGCCGGTGGGGACACTTGTGGGGTGGGTGCTGCGATCTCTGATATCACAGAAATCCCGAGAAGGTGGATTTAAGTGCAGGTGATGATGGATGGGGTGACATATGGGGTGGAGCAGTGTATCTGTGTTTTACAGTACACTTTTACGAGGAAATAATGGGCAGAACTGAAGGTAGCCAATGTCACATGGTCACATATGTTTAAAGCCTTAATCCAACCAATGTGGGGAGACAGACCTTTAAGTATATCGGAGCTCCAGGGTACCAAACACCTTTTTTCTCTATTAGACAGACCTTTACCCCCTTTCAGTAACAATTACCTCAGCATACAGTTCTGCATGCTGATATGAAGTCATCTAACATTTATTAGTGAAACATTTTTTTGCTTTTACCTTGCTATTACAGTTTTCCACTTCCTGGTTGAGTGGTGATGTAACCCTAACAGCACACATGCATCCTGGGAAGGTTACATCACCAGTGTCTTCCTGGGAAATCTCATCTGTAAACTGCACAATCTCATGAGATCACAGCGAAAGGCATTTTTCCCCAGAGATGATCTGCACTGTCACATATGGTCTAGTCACATGTGCCAGATTTCCAGGAAGCAAAGGGAGATGGATTAATCTGCCCTTAGTAAAAATGGCCACCATGGGAAGCATGGGGAGAAAAGAAAAATAAGGTATGTAAAGAATAAAAGCCTGTAATTATCTATAAGTATCTGTTTGCAGATTGTCATTACCAAACATTTCCTAAGGTGTTTTTGTTGCCATTTTTAAGATAAGGATGAAGTTCCTCTTTAACGTGTCAGCTAGGATTTTTATTTCTGTCTCTGCTCGCATTCTGGAGATATTTCCCATTTCTTTCTGCCCTTACAAGAACTAAAGAAGAAATAGAGGATTATAGATTGCACCAAAGTCCTGCATTGTTTCCCATGTTCAAATATGTTGAAAACATCAACAATTTCCATGGGGTGCACTTTGTATTTCTGTCCATCCAGTCCTAATATTTACAGAGCTCTGCTGTACAACACAGCCCTGTCTCGTCCTGACCATACTCTGCTATAGTTTCACTTTCACTAACAGGAACCTTTCCTACCCCCACCCTGTAAATGAACAGTGAAAAGAGAAGCAGCACACAGATAAGCCCATCTCTTTGGCCTCATTCACACTGGGTGTACATGTCCGTGCGGCATGCACGTCCGTAAACAGTCGATCCCGGGAAGGGACAGGTGCTGTGTGTGATTGCGCGCAGCAACCCGTTCTTCCCTATGGGAGGACGCAGCTGTTTTGTGTCACCCGTGCGCGTATAGATGTGCATGGATGTGCAGTTCGCGTGTCCGTATAGCAATGTACAGTCGCATCCTCCCATAGGGAAGAACAGACTGCTGCATGTAATCACATGCAGCATCTGTCCATTCTGGGACTGGCTGTTTACTGGCCTGCATGCTGCACCGATGTGTACACCCAGTGTGAATGAGGCCTTTGTCAGCTGGCTCTCTCCTCCAATTAGCATGCTGCTTGCAATGCTGTAACTGGCTCCTTGTGCGGTTCACCCCCCCCCCTTTCCCCAGCACTGCTGTGCATACTGTACATTAGGCTGAAATTCAAGTACAGTACTGCTTGTAATTGAAATATAATTGAATAATGTATTAATGATTACAGAGCTGCTTTTATATGTGTCTTTTATATATTTCTGGAGTTCAGTTTTAAAGGGGAGTAATGGTCTTGTTACTGTGTTTTATGTTTATGTGTGAATATTATGTGTGTATATATTATTTTGTTAGATGTGAATGTCATTTGTTCAGTTTAACTAATCCTATTAATGATTGTTCATATTTTAACAATCCTTCTTCTATGTATTTGTGTAAATATATATGTACTTAAGGGCAGTCATATGGTCCTCATATACAGGTGAAACTCGAATAATTAGAATATCGTGCAAAGTTAATTTATTTCCCTAATGCAACTTAAAAGGTGAAACTAATATATGAGATAGACTCATTACATGCAAAGCAAGATAATTCAAGCCGTGATTTGTCATAATTGCGATCATTGTGGCTTACAGCTCATGAAAACCCCAAGAACCCCAAATCCACAACCTCAAAAAAGTAGATTATTACATGCAATCAATAAAACAAGGATTGTACATAGAACAATATCGGACCTCTGAAAAGTACAAGCGTGCATGTGTGCTCAGTACTTGGTTTGGGCCCCTTTTGCAGCACTTACTGCAATTACTTTTGCACGATATTCTAATTATTCGAGTTTCACCTGTATGTAGACTCATATCGCTGTTTGTTTAGCAGTACTGCACGGTGACTGCGTTTTACAGTTTCTCTAATTCAGTGTATGTCTAGGAGTCAGGTAGGTACTCTCTATAAGGTTTAACCAAACTAATGTCCACAGTTCTTAAAGGGAAGCTCCATTTTATTATGGTAAATATAGATTGCAAGAATTTATGCAAACTTCATAGCAGGTTGAAATCTGCCTTTATAGACAGACAGTTCTGAGCTAGTAACCTTCTCCAACCAAAAGCTAAAAGGGAGGCTCTACCAGCTGTAAAGATCAGGCTGAGTGACATAATAAGATAAAAGCTGCGTCCCTGGCATTCCCTTAGCTCTCTTAGTTTTTTCTGCATACTTCTGAAATTTGATCTCAAGCTCTGTGCAGATTTTTTAGAAGAAAGCCCATTATACAACTGGGATGAGATGCCTGTACTGTTGCCATGGTTGCTGGAAAGCAACATCATTGCTAGCTGCAGATGAAAATGGAACTGTGGAAAATGCAGAGGAATGCTAATTACATGGTTCATAATAATAACTTAAGTGTGCTCAGTCATGGACTTATTATATAGAGTTATATAAATGATATTGTTATATATATAACATTTTAACACTCTAATAAAAGCACAATTTTGTTCTGTCTACAGATTATGAATTAATACAACTATAAAAGTTACTCTTCGATTTCCTCCCTCCAGACATCACGGGAACGTAGATCCAGGAGCTGCCTTTCTCCGAAAGGGAAAAGAGGCATCATGCCGACAAACTTTCCTGTGCGGGCTTATTCTAAAAGCGTAGATACACCAGAATCAGTTGACTGGAGAGACTCAAAGTGTGTTACCCATGTTAAAAATCAAGGCTTGTGTGGATCCTGCTGGGCATTTGCAACGGTAATTAAAGTACTCCTGAAACTATATAGCAATGCATAAAATGGTAGAAGACACATCTACATTCTGTACAGTTTACCTCTCCACTATAGACCATTATATTGACACACACTTCAGTCCCTGCCATAGCAAAAAGGAATGACTAAATCTGTGGCTCCACTTGGGGGCCGACAGAGTGCTAAAAAGACACAGGAAGCCCATACCACTACATGTAGACAGCATGCCAGCATATCAGCAACTCGTGAGCTTCAGCTCAAACCCAAACTCCAGTAAATATTTTTTTTTTACCTTTGGATGAAAGGGGAAAGGGTTAGAGAATGTCTGTGTGTTGGGAAGATTAAGGGTGTTATTCACAAAAGGGTGAAGAGTTTGGAGAAGGCAGGACAAGTGAACAATCTATGACAACATAGCTGATTAAATTGGAAACATTCTCCAATTCAGCTCACTTTCCAGTTCAGCTATGTTTTCCTAAATTGTTCACTTCTCCTGCCTTCTCCAAACTCTTCACATTTTGTGAATAACCCCCTAAAAGTCTCAGTTTGAAAAAAAAAGAAACAGCAATAAAACCTCCCTTTGAAGTAGAGTGGGGAAGGGTTAGAACCCCCCTCAAGTTCTTTTTCCTGCACTCACAGTGAATATTTTCTCACTTCCTGTCACAGTGACACCTTGTGTGCCATTGTGTCTCCAGTACTGAATCTGAAGAGGGGGAGTAAATCTCAACAATAGAGGCACAGACTGAGTCTGATAGAAGTTCTAACCCTAAAGCTGGCCATACACCTATGTATTTTTGATTGGAAATTTTCATTGCTGCCAAGAACCCTCTTTTGATTCTATCTCAAATACCCCATAGTGCACAGACCAATGCCGATTTCGATAATCATTTGTTAGAAATAATAACTTACCAAAATCCATCGTTAGAAATAAAAACTCACCAAAATTTTGGTGAATAATAACTCACCAAAATCCAGAACGGATTTTCGTTTGCGCATGTGCAATGTTATTGCTGCAATTTTCTTCGTACAAAAACGCCACTAATCCACCGATTTGTGTTCAATTCGAAAAAGGTTTTGCAGCCTGACCGAACGAGGAAATTCGGCCAGGAGTACAGTGATTAAAACCGTGGGTGTCCCATCAACTCATCGATTATCAATCGAAAGACCATTTGTGTACATTTTTGAATGAAAATTGATAGGTGTATGGGCACCTTAAGACAAGTTTTACCATTCTAACCAAACCTAAAATAACGGCTGGTGAGATATTTAGAGGGAAGTTCCACCTTTTGCAAAAAAAAAAGTTCACAGATCTTCATGAAAGAAAAAATGTCCATTTATATTTTTTTTGCACAGGAGCCAGTAAAGCATTGCAACTGCGATCAGTAGATCACAGGTGCTATGCTCTGGCTCCTGCAGCCTCTACCTCCCATCCATGTCTGTACCGAGGTATGGACATGCAGTAACATGGAGGAAGCGTCAATGGACCACAAGTCCAATGACATCACAGCAAGATGGGAATTCACTTCCTGTTATGGTCTAACATGAAACAAGGTCATATTGCATACCCCCACCCCCCTCACGCACTTACCTGAATCATGGGTTTCTTCTCCCTGCAGGCTTGTTTCCTTTTTAAATTTGGCGTGGCTGTGTGGGTGTAGCCTCACGGTTTTCGTAGCCACGCATTTTGCGTAGCCTCACCAAATTTAAAAGGGAAAACAAGCTTGCGGGAAGAAGAACCCTAAGATTCAGGTAAGTGGGCAGGGGGGGTCTGCGATCTGACCATGTTTCATGTCACACCCTAAATATGGTAGGGTATAGGTATTTTTAGCCTTTAAAGATGGGTAAATATGTCAGTTAAAAAGATGGGTGTTCAGCCATTTTCTTGTCCTCAATGTGAATGCAGCCAGGATTTGCTGTAATCTCTGATTCAGCTAAAGGATGGACACATCCCATGGGCAGCGAAGGCTTTCCTTCCTTCTTCCCACAGCCAAGGGAACAATCAATTATTTCTAGAATCCTGATAGCATGCCGAGAGATAATTATGAAGATAATGTAGGATAATGGTCACCTACAACAATCGGAAGGTGCTTACCACATCCTTCTACACAGGTATTATTTCCTTTTATTGGACCACGCACAGAGAGGGCACATATGCAACCCTCAATACTTCTATAGGTAATACCTATGACATTTATAACACAATTGGCTTGTGTGGTCCGTGTTTTATTTCTGCAGTACCTAACATTTTTTTCTCACATTACTATAAAGAAACCGTTCCAAAAATGTAGCTTAACACTGTATTTCACATTGTGTGATTTCAGGTGGGTGTGGTTGAGGCTCGAAACTGCATTAAGACCAGTGAGCTTGTTGAACTAAGTGAGCAGCAGCTTGTGGACTGTGATAACACAAATGATGGTTGCTGTGGAGGAGATCCGGCACATGCCATGGACTATGTTACACGCAATGGTATGATGAAGGCTACAGACTATGAGTACGCAGATAAGGTAGGCTCCTTCAGAGTGCTTTGTTTTTTATAGGTTCTTTTTGCATAATTTGCACCAAACTTGTAAACACCAATCTTTTTTTTTTTTTTTGTTTTGTATGGGGTGGGGAAACATTAAAAATTGCTGTCAGATTTGTATTGCTGTAATGACCCCATTGGGGAGGTTTTCCCTCACTTTGTGTTCCTGTGACATCTGTATAAGAAATGGGGGAAGGCAATTGTTACCAGCAGAAGAAGGGACAGACATCAATGAAAACTTTGCTACAGTTTAAAGAAGAACTCCGGGCAGAAATTATCTTACCTTTGCAGTGGGGTAAGTGCTCGTTTTCATCTAGGTTGTAAAATAAAAAAGAAATGCTCAACTGTCTCCTCCTCCGCCGGTTTGTCACTCGGCGTCCTCACGTTCTATACATTGTATTGGATGTGATGACTCACAGGACCTTAGACCGCCAGGGCGGAGAGAGGCTGGATGGACCAGCTGGATCCGATGTTCAGGTGAGTATATCTATTGCATTTTCGTCCCTAGTGCAGGGGTAGCCCCGCTGCAAGGTTTAAGAACATTTGTGCCTGTATTTCTTCCTTTTCCTATAATGAATGTGTTTTTGTTTTTGCCTGTTTGCCTGTTGGAGGGATTTTTCATCATTTACTTACCTGACAGGAAGTGAGGGTAAATCTCTCCAGTGAGAGAAATTCTCTGAAGGAGTCTGTGAAGAATCTCATTACACACAGCCCTTCATACCCCATGCTCCAGGGAAATGCAAAAAGTGCTTTGTTCAGAAACTCTACAAAAAGACATAGCAGGATGATGTTCGGTGGGAATAAATTGTATTATTCTAAAAATCACAAAAGCACAAGTTATGGTCACTTACTTTGTTTTCCCATATTTTCTATGTTATCTCACCTAGCAAGCAGCATGCTTCTACAAACCGGCAAATTCGTTAACATTTAACGTGAGCAAGTACTACAACATGTTTGGAGAAGACAACATGGCAACATCTGTGGCACTAGATGGACCTATAGCAGTTTCACTTGATGCAAGTGAGGATTTTCAGCTGTACGAACATGGTAAGTTACAACAGACAAAAGTAAGGTATACAGGGGGCGCCTGCCATTTAAAATATTTGGGAAGAGAACCCCTGAAATATTATTTTTTGTCTCAGGATCCCTTTTTTCTTATTTTCTATCTTCGTAAAAAGTAAGGTATACACTACAGACCCTAATACATTCGGGTTGATTTACGAAAGGAGTAGTGGCTGCTCACTTAGCAAAGTAAATGTTCAGTTTGCAAAGTGTATGTTCACTTAGCTTAGTAAATAAGGTGAAGATGTGCTCATTTTGAACACACAATTACGTGCAAGGCATACAAAAATTGATTTTTGCTTGCACATGATTGAATGAGTGAAGTGAACACAGATTCACCTTATTCACTCATTAAGTGAACAATCAAAGTTAACATTCTCTATACCAAGGGTAGGCAAACTTTGGCCCTACAGCTATAGTGGAACTAGAAATCCCATGAGGCATAGCAAGACTCTGACAACTACAGGCATGACTCCTAGAGACAGATGCATGATGTTATATAATTATCATCGTCCAACTGGGTCTATACCAATTAGCTCAGGAAATGACTGAATATGTGTGGATCTAGATCTATATGATTAAATATTCGTACATTGGCAATGTGGATTTCTATTCTTGAGGGAACAATCCATGGGATAAGACGCTTTTCTCAGACCAGTTATTGTAACTTTCTCCAGGCCATGTGGATATCCTCCTACTCTACCTCTTCCCCCCTCCACTGATATAAAAATGTTCAAGTGGATCATCAAAATGTGCTTTCAGAGAATGATCTTTTGAGTGTTGCATTGTACCTGCACATCTCCACATCATCTGCTGTCTGTGGGTATCTTTAGGAGGAATCCACCATGACCTCTATACCTGACAGAGGCTTTGCTAAAACTTACGTGCACACAACATTCTTGGTCTGGAGGACAGTCACAATTTTTGCACCAGGCATGGCACTGTACATACCTCTTTGAGACTCACTGTGACTGGGGTTTATCTGGGGACTGCCACATCAATTAATCCAGAGAGCTGATCTTGTGACTACAAACCCTACAGAGATGTCCACCACATATGGGATAAGATGGACCCCCAAATCTATGTGGTCTTGGAATTCCAAATGTGTAGATCTTTGAGCTCTGCTGGGGCAAAACTGTAGCATAACATCATGATGGAAAAACTTCCTCTGACTAGTAGTTTCAGTTAACAATAGAATGATAACAGAAAACATCATCAGAAGTCTCAGTAATGTGGTCTGTCTATGAACATGAAGGAATGAACTTAAACAAGTGATTTTCTGCTCACTCTTTCAATTTATTTCAGGTGTTTTCTTAGGAGAATGTAGTGAAGAGCTCAATCATGCAGTGATTATAGTAGGATATGGCACAGAATATGTTGAAGAGGAGGAAGAGAATGTAGATTACTGGATAGTAAAGAACAGGTATGCATCTTAATCACCAAACATTTTCATTTCATATTGCCTAAAATTTGGGAGGGGTAAATTCTACAGAGGTATTTAAGCTTCACTATTTTGTAGCTTGAGAACTCCGGTTATTGCCACTTACGAGCACATGGTGTACAAGTGTACACAGAAGGAATAGTTTTCTCTGTAATGTCAGTGGTCATCAAAAATTTAGAGAAGCAGCCTAATATCTTAAAAGAAGTGTCCACCAGTTGGAAAGTAGAACACAAGCATTCCTTTTTGCATTTAGCATGTCTGTAGGACTCCATGATGGACAATTATAGACATTCTGGGAGTGCTAACTTCTAAATATCTGATAAAGGGCAATGCCAATGAGAAATCATTCAGAGCACAAGTTCTATGAGGTTCAGTTCACCACAAACTGGTATGTTATGGGGGGTTGCAGTTATTTAAAAAAATCCCTATATCTTACACAATTTATAGCCAGATCTCCCCAACCCACTCACTTTCAACTATACGTCCATTGAGTGTCACTATTCCTGCCGTATTCTCAGAGTGTACAATATATGAAAAATTAAGTGAACACAAACTCATGAATACATCAAGTAGGCTGAGCAGGGAACCCAAGTGCATTAAATAAGGGCCCTAAAGGCTTTCCGGTGCATTTTGTTTACATTTAACATCAGTTTCAAAAGTTTTTGATTTTGCAGTCCCATTGAATTGAAGGGATATAAAAGCAGTTCTGATGCAAAAAAAAAAAAAAAAACATGTACACAGTGCTTTTGGTAGGGTTGGGATTTGTATTGAGGTGTACTTTGCAGTTGAGGAGAAAATAATGTTAGACATTTAGCAGACATTTTCCTTTTTACCTGATTTTAACACCTACTGCTCCTGGAGCCAAATTCTAACCCATTGTAATTTCACTGCTAAACTCAACAAAATTAAAATAAGTAAGGAAGGTGGAGTTATGTGACTGTATTAGATGATTGCACACATCATGAGTAACATATTGACCTAGAAGACTTTCTTTTTACTTCTATAGTCATCTTCCTTTAATTGACTGTCAGTTCAGTTAAACCAATGGCAAACGTTTCACAATTGTTTCACCTTTCTTTTCTTTCTATAGCTGGGGAGATGATTGGGGAGACAATGGTTATATCAAGATGAAGCGTAATGTTAACCTGTGTGGTATTGGTTCAGAGGCAGCCGCTGTGGACTTGGTCTAGTAGTTGCTCAGGCCCATCTACTGAAGATTTGACAGAAGTCTGTGTTACAGAGTCTCTGTATAAGTGATATATTTTCAGCAATGGTTACAGACCACATTGTTTTTTATTCTGCACTGCTTGCCAATATAAATATGTTCACTGTTGTTTTAGTAGTACTCTCAATTGTTTGCTAAAGTGTTTTAAAATAAAGAAAATGGAAGCATTTGTTCAGTTTTTGAAGGCTGGTCATTCATTTGTATTGCTATCTGTTTGCTAGATACAGTAGCTAGCGACATACAGTATGTAAAAAATCTCTAAGGTTCCCACAAGATTATACACTATATTGCCAGAAGTATTGGGACACCTACCTTTACACGCACATGAACTTTAATGGCATCCCAGTCTTAGTCCGTAGGGTTCAATATTGAGTTGGCCCACCCTTTGCAGCTATAACAGCTTCAACTCTTCTGGGAAGGCGTCCACAAGGTATAGGAGTGTGTCTATGGGAATGTTTGACCATTCTTCCAGAAGCGCATTTGTGAGGTCAGGTACTGATGTTGGATGAGAAGGCCTGGCTCGCAGTCTCCGCTCCAATTCATCCCAAAGGTGTTCTATCGGGTTGAGGTCAGGACTCTGTGCCGGCCAGTCAAGTTCCTCCACCCCAAATTCGCTCATCCATGTCTTTATGGACCTTGCTTTGTGCACTGGTGCGCAGTCATGTTGGAACAGGAAGGGGCCATCTGTTACGCTCAGGTGCGGCTTTAAGGGCTGGTATGGATCTCAGCTTCGGTTAGTAAGGCTAGATTGGTTCTCTTTAAAGAGTTCCTTGGCAAACACAAACTGATATATATATATGGAGACAAGGTTCTATTTATGAAGCATATTACTTTAATATGTTTGGGTAGACAGACTGAATTGGAAGCAAATGGGTTTAGGCAATTAGCAGAGTCACAGTTCACAATGGAAACAGCTGAAGGTATTAAGATGATACTTGCAGTTTAGGTAGTCCGAGGTGATCTGCTACCACCATTGATTCTTCCTAATGCAATGGTCATTACTTTGTATTTCTTATAGTAATTCTCTTTTGTCCCAGTGAACAACCATTAGAAATGTGAATATGTTTAATAAAAAAACCCTGGGTTATATTATATACAGAGACATTCACTTGGCTCTAGGATATTAGACCACTAGAATTTTTGGATCATTTTGACCCCCCCTTCCCCCGCCAGAGCAATGCTGCAACTCAACTACTGGGCTTCTTCCAAGCCTATTGGACTTGCTGTTAATCCAGCTTACGAATGGAATCTAAAACTGCCTGGACTTTCTCTAGGTGAAAATCCTAGTTAAGACTTAAATTGACAACATCATCTACATATGCCAAAGCATGTTTTGTGGAGCTCAAGAATGCAGTCCATCATACTTCAGAATTAGGTCAGGCAATAAAAATCAAAAGCTGTCTTTTCCTTTGCCCTGTTTTTACCCTTTAGTAAGAAAGAGGTGGTAATGTACGTCATGGGACACAACCTTTCTATCAACTCATCCACCCAGGTGGATAAGCATCAATAAGCATCAAATTTGGATATTTTGTATAGTTTTCTGAAGTCACTGCTGAAACCCAGCCTGCCATTTGACTTAGGGATGAGTACTATGGGATTTGACCACTTGCTTTTAGATCCCTCTAAAACCCCAAGGACTAGACATGTGCACAGCAAAAAAATTAGTGATGTTTCAGATTCGGGGGCAACAAGCCTCAGAGTCCAAAACCGCACACTGAAACTGCAGAACGAGCGGCAGCCGGCACGTTCTGCGCATGTGAGCTGTCATCTTGGAGTGTATCTTAGCATACACCAAGACGATGGTGCCCGCATGTTCGGGTGCCACCATCTTGGTGTCTACTAAGATATACTCCAAGATGGCAGCTCGCATGCGTAGAACGCGCTGGCGGACGATATGGCCACCCCCTCGTTCAGCACGTGATGCCACCATAATGCGCTCCGCCTCCCAGATGGCGGTAGGCATGCGCAGAACACGCCCGCAGCCGATATGGCCGCTGCACATTCTGAAAATGAATTTATGTATCCCCGAATATACGAAAACTATATTGTATATTGTGCATGTAGTAAATTCGTTATTTCGGATTCGGACGAACGGCCGAATCAATTGAATTTCGTTAATTTGCAGGTTCATCCGAATCTGAATGCACATGTCTACCAAGGACTAACATTTTTTGTACTTCTTCTGAAATGGCTCTTTATTTTACTGCAAGAACTCTCTCACCTCCTGATCACTTTTTACTAAAGGAGCCTTACAATACTTCCGGGGTATAATTAGATTAAGATGCTATTTTTGGATGTGCTTTCTCTTTCTGGGCTGGTATACCTATTAGTTGACATAACTGATTTTCTTTCTCGTCCCAAATGGGCCCTGCCAATTTTCTATAAATTTACCCTCTAAAGTACGAACCATAATAAAGACTTCATTTCCCAGATTATATTATCTTGTGAGATGTGGTCTCTTGCTTCCATGTTTTTCAGGTGTAGCAAAAACTCCCTAAGGAGCTGCTGCATTTTATAGGTCCTGACACACCAGAAGTGATAAAGTAGGTTTATTAGAGCAAAAATAAGCTCTGTAAGGGAATTTCTGTTTAAACAGTTACAGCAATAACAGGGTTAACTTAATATCAAACACTGAAACAAGCAAAGTTAAGACTTTTCACTTTTCACTCCCTCTTTTCACTTGGGAAAGGCCTTGCCAAATGCACTGGTTGGATGAGAGTAGAAAGACCAGGCTAAGCTGACAGCTATGAAATAGGCACTGCAGGAAATAACTCTAAAAGAGAACGCCAGGGATTACCATAAAAAGTACGACCTACTGTTCTTAGGTCCTACCTAAACCACTGGCCAGTGAAGAATCAAATATACAGCCTGCCAGCAGTGGGGCTCCTAATCTCAAATTGGAGTGCTCACCCACAAAGCACTTGAACTCCACTAACTATGGAAGGAATGCTCCCAAAGTGTCCTGGGCAGGTTCAAGTAGAGGCAATAAAGCTCCAATGGCAGCAAACAAGTTCATTACAAATAAGGGGCAGCTAAAGGTTCTCTCACTACCAATGCTGCGTAGTTGTCCTCTGAGATGAAAGGTCACAGCACACTCTAGGGCTCGCCTCTCAAGCCTGCACCCATGTCTTGTCCCCACGTGCATCCTCTGGCTCACTCAATGGAGTTCAAAGTTTTTGCACACGCTCTGTTTCTTGGCCACAGACCACAGATTTATCTTCCCTAGTGTCTAACTCCCCTGCTCTGCACAGCACACACAGCATTCCCTGTGCAGCTTTCTCGATCTATCACTTCTTCCCTGCTCTCCAGATCCCAGGCTTAATTCCCTGCTGCCCTTCTTCTTCTCTCCTGTTTTTGCTTGTCGGACTGTAAAACATGGTCATTTGGAAATATAGATATGGTTCATATAATTGACATTGAGGGAATGTCTTCTAAAGCATAATGAAACACTTTAGCACTCCTACATCACTTCCCTCAGCTTTTTTGATTGGACGGGAGTTGGCTCACTGGGCGAAGTAGTGCTGCATCTGCAGCTCAAGGCTCTTTATTTCCACCGGAGCCATACCAGTATGCTAACAGTCATTTCTGAGGGCCAGTCAGTATTAGGCTTATTCTGAAATTAATCTGACTTTGTACAGAAACTAACCACCGAGTAAACTTTCTTAACTACTTTTTCACTTTTAATCGTGTTTATTTTCCTGGTGTTTATTGTGTATTTTGTAATTTTTGTGTGAATATTTTCTTTCACTGTTTTTCTCTTAAGTTTTATGTAAACACTAATAAAAATTGTTAAGCATATTATCTAAATACTCTAAAATAAAGAATCCTTACCTCTGTGGAGAAAGTTACTATATTTTAATGTTATATTCCTGCCTGTCAAGTGCCACAGGCATTTCTTAAAGGTCAGATGCTGTGAACAATGCGGATTTCTGTTAAAACAAAGTGGTGCAATTTGGCTTGTAAAAGGGTTAACTGTGGAGTTAAATAACCCCTGTAATGATCATTCTTAGACTGCTGGCGCTAAGATTGTTATCCCACTAGCTGAAAAAATGCTGTGGCTACTTTGTAACAAACTAGCGATCACTCCCGTGATGGACTATAACTTCACTACAAATGAATAAACTAAACATGAGATTGTAATCCATCACGGGAGCGAGATTGGAGTGGTGGCTACTTTACAACACACACAGAGACCTTGAAGAACAAAAGTAGCCACCCTACAGAAGGAAGGACAGTGTCAGCACCAATTCAGAGATGATTTGAGGATCTACAGCGGAGTGATACACAAATAAGATACATTTTTGCTAAGTTGCTTGAATGCATTTTTAAGATTTAACTCCTGGGTTTAGTGTCACTTTAACTTCTAAGGAGTATGAGGATTTTCTAAGAGTCGGATGTGCTCCTCATCACTCCCAGAAGTTTGACGTGACTCGAAGACATGGGCGGACATATTTTTCATCAGCCATCATTCTCAGGGGAGATCCACTTGTCCATGGCCAAACTACAGTGAATGACTAATATCATGCATCTTATCTGTATACTGCCAGTTCTTTCTAGAAACATTCTGACATGATTTATTAGGACATTGACCAGATGTTTTATGCCTCTCATGACTTTAATCTACATAGTAAGCCAGCTGTACTCCCTTTCTTTAGCATGCCACATTAAATATACAGCTTTAAAACACATGTTGAAGTGGTTTATACCCCATCCAAGTAACACTTTGGGGTTCATTTATAATGGAGAAAAGATATTGCGCTCTGCTCACCATTATAAGCAGTCTTACGCAATACCATGGCCTGCATTTTACAGTCCAATCATAAAATGCAGGCTGCAGTATCAAACTTATGGCACCCAGAAAGCCAAGGTAGAGCCAGTCTTATGCCTTTGATAAGTCATTTGACCAGGCTTTTCTCCCTGCTTTTTATTCTTTGTAATTCCTATTCATTTTTATTGCACTCCTGAAGCCAGGAGAGCGCAATGAGCCTTCATAAAACATATTGCTGTACTTTATAAATGTGCAAAATGCTTCTTTTTTTTTTTTAAGCTGCAGTATGGCCAGGGTAAGGCCAAACC